TAATTACGAGAAAATATCAATATGAAACGGATCTAGGATTTTATCTTCCCCCTATGCAAGAATTGCTCACCCAAAACCCCTCAATTATGAAATATATGATTCATGATTATTAACCCGAGACACTAATTTACTCATAACCCGCTGTCGCGTGTATTATGAGTCTATTATTCATAAACGATTCACTATATGTCTATGCAAACCAATTATAAATAAAGCATTAACTAACAAGTCTCGTAAGTGGCTACCTAAGGTGATATCTGTATGTCTACGACACCACATGCAATTGACACACTCATCCGGTGAAAACTACTCGAAGGCTCTTATACTTACCGTCTAATTATCAAAATAGCTCTGTCAAGTCAATCCCAATAATCACAGATAAAGCACATAAATTGATCAAGTTCATGCACTAACAATCATAACAAGTATAAGAAATAATCATAAAATCATAATTGCATAATCTCAAGAAAACGGGTTCACAATCCCCACATAGGGTTCCAACAAAATCCTAGATTAAAAACTTAGCTACTCATAACGAAAAACATAATAAAAGTAATAAAAATCATAAAAGCTATAAATAAAAGTCAAAGAGGGGAACTAGGATGAAGATTCGTCAAGTCTTCGTCTTCGTTCTTGTGCTCCTTGATCGCGTGTAGAAAGATGAAAAATAAAAACCTAAAGATTAAAGATAAAAGGTAAAAGATCCAAGATAGGTCTAATTGTGTGCTTGTGGCCTTTAAATAGGGTGCAAAAATATAATAGGGCGGGTTTCCTTGTGTAATTAAACTTCCTTCACTGCGCCCCTACGCCCATCCGGACGGCCGTGTGAGATTAAGATCTAAAACCCGCACGGCCGCGCGGCCTTCTGTTCTTCAGAATTCTGATTATTTCACTTTTGGCCCACTTTTTCTCTGAATTTGCAGTTTTCACCCCAAAAGTTGCCAATTCTTCAATTTGCACCTAAAATACAAATAATAACCATATTAAGCACCAATTATCGTAAAAACACATCAAAAGCTCCAATTAAAAGGTACAATTAAGTGTATAAATATACACTTAACAGGTACACAGTGCCCCCAAAACATTTCGCTCGCCAAGGGTTATCGACTCCCTGGGGGCTTACATCTGCCCCCAAAATATTTCGTTCGCCAAGGGTTATCGACTCCCTGGGGGTTTATAGTGCCCCCAAAATATTTCGTTCGCCATGGGTCATCGACTCTCTGGGGGCCTACTTCCGCCCCCCCTCGAACGGTTCAGATAACCGAAGAGGACATTCAGCGTATGATCGCCGAAACTTCAACAATATCAACTTCTACTTGCTCCTCTAACGGTTCAGATAACCAATAAGGACCTTCAGCATACGACAGCGAAAACTTTAACTCGTGTTGTCACTGAAGCAACGACACAACCGTGTGCATCCACCTCAGACCATAGGTCTCGAGCGCCTCATCCTATAGTGGGTAGTTAACCCATCCCAAGGTTGGGCATCACCCTTACCTTTCAACCCCAAGTGGGTTCACATCACATCTCAAGAGACGAGTATAATCTCCCAACTCAAAAAATAGAATATCCCAAGGGGTGAACATCAACCACCAACAAAAAAAAAAAAAAAAGAAGAAGAAGATGAAAAAATAGAAGAAAAAAAGAAGAAGATGAAAAAAAGAAAGAAGAAAAAAAAATAGAAGAAAAAAAGAAGCAGATGAAAAAAAAGAAAGACAAAGACAAAATAGAAGAAAAAAGAAGAAGAAGCAACAATAGAAGAAACACGCACAACGACTGAAAAAATAGAAGAACACACAAGAAGATCAAAAAAGAGAAGAAGAAAGAAGAAGAAAAAAGAAAAGTAAAAAAAAAA